AAAAAAAAAAAAAAAAATAAAGGAAACGATCGGTCCTGTGGATGTGAGTGGCGATATAGAGCATAACACACAAAACCGCGTAGCAGGTGCATGCAAGGAGGCCGGCGCGCTCACTGCGGCTGCGGGCCCGCGAGCAGCGGCGCGGCCGCCGGGCCGGGGCCGGTGCCGGGGCCGGTGCCGGGCGGCTGCTCGGGGCCCAGCGGGGCGGGCGGCCGCGGCAGCCCCAGGGCGCTGTCGTGCAGCTTGCGGACGTGCTTCTTGAGGTCAAAGTTCCGGCAGAAGCCCTTGCCGCACGTGGGGCACGTGAAGGGCTTCTTGTCGTTGTGGGTGTGCATGTGGAAGGTGAGGTTGTAGACCTGGTGGAAAGCCTTGTTGCAGATATTGCACTTGAACTGCTTCTCCCCGCTGTGCGTCAGCTTGTGGTTTTTGTAGTTGCCTGCGGGGCGAGACAAGGAGGGCAAAAGGAGCGGGTGCTGAGAGCCGGGCGCTGCAAGGTGGGAAAAAAAATACCAGCAAACCCCCTCTCCCATGCCTGGCTTTAGCTGAAAGTGACAGTTGATCTCTTGACAAATAGACAGCCACTTGCTCTCCCGCCTCCCCGCGGCATTTCCTTTCCTACAGCCAAAGCAATAATTATCGAATAAAACAAAATCACCGCAGCGGCACAAATAAAGAACGCGGTTTTAACCTTCCCGGTAACGTGGGGATCAAAAGTGGAAGTTGCTGCTAACCAAATTCCTCAGTGCAACGAAAAGAGAGAAATAACAATAATAATAATTTTTTAAAAGGGGGGAAAACAGAGAAACTGTTTGCTAGACTGTATTTCAGGCTGCGATTTCTAAACAGACACCATCCGAGGAAAGCTTGCCTTTCCACTAAGTCTAAACAAAATAAAAATAAATAAAAATAACAATTAAAAAACATTGTCCCAATTTGTGGCCAATCACAGAAATGCTTAACGAATTCTTTAAAATAACCGAAATCACGAAGAATATAATTTTATACTTAAAACCAACTCCTCTCTCCTTCCGCACGGTAGTTTCTCGACCTCAGCCTGGGCCGGGGGGAGGGGAGCGCGGCGCGGGGGTCGGTACCTTTCTGGTGAAACCCTTTGCCGCAAAACTCGCAGACGAAAGGTTTGTAGCCGGCGTGTATCCGCGTGTGCGTGTTCAGCGTGGAGCTCCGGTTAAAGGCCTTGCCGCACTGGTTGCACTTGTGCGGCTTTTCCTGCGGGGAAACACGGCCGGGTCAGGGCTCGGGCCCTTGCGCTCGGCTATAACGCCCGGGCTCCGGCGGGGACCGCGGGCTTCGGCGCCGGGCGCGCAGCAGCGCGGAGGAGCCGCTCACCTGCGTGTGGATGATCTTGTGGCGGCAGAGGGTGCTCGCTTGTCTGAAGCCCTTGCCGCAAACTTTGCACACGAAGGGCCGCGCTCCCGTGTGCACCGGCATGTGGCGAGTCAGGTTGTAGTGCGCGTTAAACACCTTGAACGGGAAAGCACACACAAACGGCCGCGATTAGGGGGCGAGAGCAACGAGAGGGCAGCGGTCGCTCAAAAATAAAGCAAACAAATGCTGCAACCCCCCCCAAAAAAAAAAAAAAAAAAAAAAAAAAAAAAACAAACAACAAAAAAAAACAATAACAATGAAACGCGAACGAAATAGGGGGGAAAAGTGCGGGGTAGGAAGCGCGGGGAAGCAAAGGGAAGGTTCGCTTTTTACTTGCCTTTCCGCAAACTTCGCACGTGAAAACTTTGGGCTTGCTGCTCGGAGAGCCGCGACTGAACTCCGAGGTCTTGTAGGCGATTTTCTCGGAGAGAATGTGAGCGCTCTCCTTCATGTAATGCTGCAGCTGAGCCTGCGACAAGTCCTTGAAGGCGACCCCCGCGGAATACTTGTCCACGGCGGGCAGCACGAGCTTGTTCCGCTCCGCCAGGTAAGCCTTGGGCTGCGGGTGCAAGGGGGAGCTGAGGAAATAAGAAGCCACCGGGTGGATGTTGACACTGGAGGACGGGTGACAAGGGCTGTCGCCTCGGTTGAAATAGCACAGGGCTCCCATGGCGTGGAAGGAGGAGTGATTGACCACTCGGGGTCTTACCAGTTTGTACTGCTGCAAGGGCAGGGCGTCGCGGGGGAAATCTCCTTTCAAGCTCAGGGCACAGTTCAAGAGATCGCCGCAGCTAAAGGAGGGCGAGGAAGAGGAGTCTACGTGAGCCTTCCTGGGTTCCGCTCCGGCCACGGCAGCTTTGGGCAGGGGGTCGTACGCCACCGGGACAAAAGGGATCATGCAGGGAATGGAGGAGTTGAGGTGCAGCGGGTGCTTGGGGTCGCCTTTGGCCACGGAGCCCTGCAGGAACTGCGGGACGGGGATGGAGCGAGGCTCTGGCGTCCTCGCCATGATTCGCTCAATGGAGAAGGCGAGGGGTTTGGGAGTGCTGATCATGTTGCTCCTCGCAGACAGGCTTTCTCTGGCCGGAGGAGTCGCTAGGATTTTGGTCGCCGTGTGGTGGCCACTATTGTCCATGGCTGGATTGCATTTGTTCGCCCGCTTTGAGCCGCTTTGGTAGACGCCTCTTTTTTTTTCCCCTCTCTCTTTCACTCTCTCTCCCCCTGTTCTTGTCACTGATCTGCAAAGAGGGAGCCCAGCATCACCGCCGCCACCATCACCGCAGCGTCCGCCGGCGGAACCAGCCTTCGCAGTCCAGTGGACTCATGCCAGCCCATCGCCGTTTACTTTGGCGCACCAATGACTCGGGACAATCGCTACTTATTTCTATCAATAGAAAGTGTTGTGTCAATAACGCAGCCAAGATCTCGCCAATCGTTAACTTCCAAGAGGAGAAGGTAAAGTAGATAATTGCTCAATTCGCTTCCAACAGTCAACAGGAAAAGTTTTTTCCCCCCCAGTAAGCGGCTACTTCTCATTGGCGCCCGCGCCTCCCCCGCCCAGGGAGGGAGGCGTCTCCTGCTCTGTCTCTCTTCTCTCCGCTTCTCTCTCGCCTTTTTTTTTCTTTTCTCTTTTTTTTTTTTTTTATTGTTATTATTATTATTATTTGCAATCTGCTTAACCAGGCTTTAGAGGCCAAGCAAATCCGAGATCAATTTTCTTGTTTGGCTTTAAGTGACATCATCTAAAATCATTGTCCAAGTGCTAAATAGGGATGTGAAACTCAATTCGAGGGCAAGCGCCAGGGTATATTTGTCAAACGAGGTGCCGCAGAAGAAGCGGCTGGAGGGGAAGCCGGCTGTTTCCTCGCCACTTTCCAGCCCGCGCTCGCGTTGTGCGTGGGTGTGAGTGTCTCACGGAGGGAGGGAGATGGCTGCACTGCGGGCACCGCTCCTTGTCTGCTCACTGCTTCACAGAAGCAGGTCAGGGGGCTGCTGAGCTTTGGGGGAATACGGGAAACAAGTGAGCGCGGAGCTTGCACTAGGGTGTGCGGATCCACTGCCGGCCAAATACAGAGCAAAAGAGGGGAATCAAAACCTTGAACTGGAGGAGAGGAGAAAAGAGAGGTAGGAAGAGGGAACACCTTCAAAATATAATGTACAATTAAAAATACAGCAAGTGAACTGCGAAGACACTAGGTATAGCCTCTCTGCCGGTAAATAACACAAACAAATGACAAAAAAAAATGGAGATCAATATAGACACAATTACACGGAATTGTATGATCCGAAACACCTCTGTATATACCTGGCTACATGTACTGCCCGCCCGTGAGTTTAAGCAAAGCTGGCAGGCCCTGCTCAGGAAAGAAAGCTGGCGTTCCTGATGCTCACAGCATTGGCGAGCAGGCAAGGACGGTTTGGGATGGTTTGGATAATCTCCCTCACCACCAAAAGACAGTCTAGGAGCAGAAGGCTTCGTTTCGGCTCCCACCTCCCCCCTCCCTCCGCGTCCCCCATGACTCTCACTTGGCTGGGGAGCCAGAAGTCTCCCCCGAAGTCCCGAGGAACCCGCGGCGACTCCCGGGCTTGGGCTCGGGGGGCGGCGGGTTCGGGCTCGGGGGCGGCGGGGATGTCGCGGGAGGTCTCGTCTGTGCTGGCGGAGCGGAGGCTCCGGCGCGGAGGGGCTCGGGGCCCCGCGGGCAGAGCGGCAGCCGCGTTAGGGCAGCAGCTCTGGAACCCGCTGCTCTCCCATGAGCCCAGGGCCCGCCCGGGCACCGCAGGGAAGCGGGAGCGCAGGAGTCCCAAGGGAGGCCGCTCCTTGCTCTAAGCGGCGGAGCTCCCCTCTCCGGGAGAAAGCGCGAAACCTCCGTGGGCACCGGGAACTACCATGGGAGTGCGGGAATAACCGGGGCCCGGAGGAGGAGATGGCCCAGGTCCCGCTCCAGCCCGGTACGCGTGTCCAGTCATCCCCGTGGCCCGATGAGCCACGCTGCCCCGTTCCGTCCCCTCGGGGCGAGCTCGGTGTAGAGCCGGTGGGAGAAGGCGCCGCGCGGGAACCTCGGCGCTCGCGGTCGCCCCGATACCGCGGTCAGGGGCGCAGCTCGGGTGCGGAGAAGACTTCAATTTCCGCCCTGGATCGGGTGGCGGCCGCCCGGCCGCCTCTTACCTGCTGCTGCTCCCTCACTGGCACTGCCCGGGGCCCCGAACCCGAATCCGGGGCAGCCAGAGGGGCAGGGAAGGTGCCTGAGGCAGCCGGGCAGCGGCACCGGGTCGGGCCCGCGCCCCGCAGCCCCGGCCGAGGGTCTGCCCCGCAGCCAGGGAGCCGCTTCTCCGCCGTGTCGGTCGCTCTCGTTATTTTGCGCCTGCTGGAGGAGTTTCCTCCTTCAGAGCAATTTACGTTTAATTCAATCCCGGCAAATTTCCTCTTGATTAGTGCTGAAGAAGGGAATTATTGTTTAGTGGGGGTTTAGAGGCTCCAAATCCCATATACTTAATATGTTAACAGCTTGCTCTTAACTGGTCTTTTTGGGATTGACTTCTTGACATGTCTTTGAAAGTAAAATATGTAGTGTCATTTGAGCAGGGTAAATATCCCAAAGTAGCAATTACAGCTCTGCCATTACAATTATACTGGTCTCTTTAGTAGTGGAACAGACTCTTTGAGAAGCTGGAGCTTGATTATCCATTACTTCTTCATGGGTTTTTCTCCTTTTCTGTCGTAGTATTCACCAAAACTTTTGTGCAAAGCTCGTTATTAAATAGCCATCTAAAAATCCCAGATTATTTTTGTCAAACATCATCCTCTGGCCTCAGAAATCGATTTTTGTTTTCTGCTTTTGAAGACCTCTATAATATAGCTGCACTTACTAAAACTATATTGATATTTTCTCATTTTCCCTTTGCGTTGCACGTAGGGACTACATTTTTATAAAGAAATGTTACATATGTGCCGAGCGGCAAATTTCTTGAAAAAATGTGCCAATGAAGGGAAGCATCACCAAGACAGAGAGTTGGGTTTTTTTTTTTTTTTTTTTTTTTTTTTTTTTTTTTTTTTTTTTTCCCGGAGGGCCCCTGGGGCTCCAGGACCTCCTTGCCTTCTGGCGGTCCCGAGGGGACGGAGGGGGCCGGTGGCCGCCCCGGAGCTACGAACCGTCGGAGGAATCGAGGGCAAAAGTTTTGCCTCGAGTTGACAACCGTTCTGTATTCTCCCTGGGAAAGCTGCTGTTCTCTTTTTCCCCTTAATCGGTTTTGTATTTCATTCGCTCGTAAGCTATGTTCTTGATATTGCTCACTTGCATTATTATCATAACATATCTCTACATGCATTCAAAATCCGAGTCACCGGCGAATTCATCTCTTCGTCAGGATTATTCCAATCCGATCCCAGAGGCGATTAGAGGGAGGTAAAATACCGCCTAAAGCCTAATCTTTAATTTCTTCCTCCTTAATAAAATGAATAATTCCATTGCGTTTTTAAGTAAAAAATGAATTGAAAAGGATAATAACTTCGCTAACCTTCTGTTGCGTGCATTAATCTTTTCCTGGAAGTGTTTTACAGCAGCCTTCCTGTCCCAGCAGGCTGCGTTTCACGAGCCTATTCCCATTCAATGACTATTACCTACAGCTGGAGAGGGGCAGACACGAAGGACGGGACTTTGGGGTGGTTTATCGGAAAGCTCTTAGTTTGGCTTTCGGAGGAACCCGGGAGGTTACGGAAAATGCTCCCAGCAGCACTGACGGCTCCCGATGATGTCTGGTCAGATTACGATTTTTGTGGTTATTATTGCCGTTAATAACACCGGATCGAGGCTCATTTTAAAAGCTGGGTCTCGTTCTTATTGAATAGGCATCTCTTGAGAAGACTGCTTTGTGTAGAGGGCGATTTACTCCCCGGCAGAGGACAAAAGCTCCCTCCACTCCTCAACTTCTCTGCTGTCGTGCCGAGTTTCGGAATAGCGCCTTTATTCTCTGCACGCCCCCAGACCCGGCCACCGCCACAAAAATGAACCGTGGCTTGAAAAAAAAAACAAGTAACAAGAAACAAACATTGTTTGTTTGTTGTCTTTGGAAAGGAACTCAAAATATAAAGAGGGGAGAGATTTAAGGCGGGAGAGGGGACAGACTCGAGGATTACCAGCCTAACGAGCCAGTTGCAGCTCCCACTGTTACTACCGGCCGCCTTAGGGGGACACCAGCGACCGCCCCCCCTGGCCGCTCCTGCTCCGCACTCGCACACGGGCAAAGGTGCCTGCGTTTGGCTGCGTTGTTTTAAGTTGTAACACGTCGGCGATCTCTTCAGTCACACATTCTCGGGGGGCTGTGGAGGGGAGCTGAGAGCACACAAAGCCTCTCTGTATACAGCGCGTATGTGTCGGCATCCCTCTACGTATCGCCGCAACGAAAAGGTTAAAGTGCTGTTATTTTAACTTAATCCATCACAGAAGAAAAACAGTTGGCATCGACCCGCCAAACCTAAGTGTTCGCGGAGATAAGACAAGGTTTCAAGGCACAGTACGTCTCACACAGACCCAGCTAAACCGAAACCCAAAGTGACGCAAATTAAGACTTTTCATGCATACAGTCTCTAATCACATATAATGGAAATTAGAAGTGACCTTCCCAGGCAGCGCCCCCGGCCTCCCTGACACCCGCGGCGGGTTGGGTGAGCGCGCCGGGCTCGGGCGTGCGCTGCTGCCATCGCCGCTAATCTAATCAGGCCGCCTGTGAGGGGACCCAGCGGTGTCATCAGCTCCAAAGGGCCCTTGGTGAAAGTGGCTGGGAGGGGCCAACGGCAGCTGGAACTATGAGTGACACTTTCTCATTTGTTCCTTTCCCAGTTCAACAAATGTTTAGCCCTGCTCCTGCTAAGTGAGCGCCTTACATTCCTTGGCGCAGGAAAACTACCTATTCTTTAAGATTCCTGAATGGTATCCGGAGCAATTAACTTTTGTTGTTGTTTTTGTTGATGTTCCTATTTTCTCCCAGCATATTGGGAGCGAGTTGCTGAGCGGCTGCGTAGGCGCCCGTGGGCTGCGCTCACTGCGCTGGGATGCGCCCGTGGCAGCGTCGCGGCGAGGGGAAGGTGCTCGCGACACGTCTATGGTGTCACGAGGCGATTCCGGAGCCAACGATCTCCCGTGACAAAGTCCGTTTTTTTGCCCCTCTACCTCATTGCTGCACGACTGAGAGGCAGGGAAAAAAAGAGGTTTTAAAAAAAAAAAAAAAAAAAAAAAAAAAAAAACACCCGATCAGAATAATCAATCAAACAAAGCCAGTGCTCCGTCGGGCACAGTGCTGGGCGCCCCGTCTCTTCCTTGCGTGTCCTGGCCACGGCGCTGGCACGGGGCAGACCCGGCCCGCAACGGCGTTCTCCGTGAGGGAACAGTATTTCCCCCACCGAAAGAGAGAAAGAGAGAAGGGGAGAAATAAAGAACGTAAGCAAGCAAGGAAAAAAAATCTCTTAACCTTCGTGTTCATATCTGAGCAAACTTCCTGCTCGCCACTGGAGCTAAGCGGGAGCTCCGCTCTGTATTAGGGGCACCTGAAATGTCCTTGTGGAGACCCTGGGCTGGTTGGGCAAGTCCTGCCCGTTTGCATACAAGGCATTTAGCTTCCTTGCTGGGAGAGCGATCTCCCTTTGCTGTCTTGCGGCTCCTGTTCGATACGCGCACTCCTGTTGGTACCCGCTTGACTCAAAGCTTCTTCGGAAGTTGCAGAAAAATATAAAGTTCACCCTGCCCGGATAAAATCAGTGCCATGGCTGCAGCGGGAGCGCTCTGCTGCCCGCGCAGAGGTTACGGGCAGCCTTTGGGCTCCCTGCGCTCTGGGACCGCATAAGCAGAGCGGGTCCCTCCGCCGGCGGGAGAACACCCGGGCTGTATTTTGCAACGAAACTCCGTTTACTCGGGACTCCGGGAAGACTCCGAGGGCTCCTGTGTTACCAGAGGTCAGGAGGGAACCGTCCTGTCCTGAGTGCAGTCTCCTCGCTACAGCGCTCCCTCTCGCCCCCCCATCCCAAACTGCGCCGGCTGCCGCAACAGCGACTGCTCCATCTCTGCTTTGTTTTGATTTAAACCTACTCTTTAAGGAACTGGCGGGTACTGACATAAATAGGAGAAGAAACAACGCAAAGGTAGCACCATCCCGCAGGCTCGTTTTCCTGCGCGGGGCTAAATCTCGGGCTTCGGGGCCGCACGGTTCCTACGGAACCTTCCTCGCACTCCTCTCTCCTCCTCCTTCTTGCTCCCGGGAGGAGAGAAGCGGCATCCAAAGGGCAGAGCTCCTGGTCTCCCTTTCCCGACGTCGGGGGGGCGAGCGGGAACAGCCTGGGAAGCGGGGGGGACACAGCGCTCCTCTCTCCCCGAAGGAGTCTGCTGAGCTTTCTAAATTTAAATATAACTTTAAATTTAATATACAGAAATGAATCCTGTTTTCAGCCATTTTTTCCCCCTTGGTTACTTGTTGAATTAATGCCCGATCACAACGATACTCACTGACCTTCTCAAGCTTGATGAATTTTACCATCTAGGTTCCTAAAAATATTTGTGACTTAATATACCAGTGTAATTTCTATACGCGTTGTCCTGTGATGTCTGCTGTGCTGTCTTTTTAAGAACTTATCACCCACTTTGTGTCTGAGTTAATTTCCCCCAAATCGTTAACAACTTGGAACTTATTTGTAATAATGTCTTTATTTTTTACTATTTCCCTCTTCAGCTCTGTGTTACTGACAGACATACTATGCAAATACTGCATGCAGACGAAATCATATCGGGTCGCACTGGACATCTGGTGGTACATGTGACAGGCATCATGAAATTTAAGTCTCAGGCCCACAATAACATATAAGGGCAGTGGGCGGGACGGCTGCTCCCTAAGGGACAGGGTCATGGGGAACAGGCACCACTGCAGTGTTGTGGGGCAGTGACTGGCTGTTCCCGGATGGGTTGAGATTGGTCAGGATTGGGCACTGTGGGTGGGGAGCACCCAGGGAGGCTGGACAGGTCTCCAATAGGCGGTATTACTACTGTAACTAATCTGTAATAGTCCAAATTATTATTAATAAGGAGCCTTTTTAGCACAATAACTTAGGACTGACTGTGAACTCTATGGGAGTTGAGGTGAGTTAAACCTATTTGTTTCCTGCAGCAGCTGTGGCCAACAGAGCTGGGCAGATGGGTCACTGCAAGGTCAGTTCTCAGTTCAGATGAAAAAGATCTTCCTCTATCTCCTTGTGTTGAGAGGCCACTTCTGTTGCAGAGTTTGCCATGGCAGATCCACATGTTGTTAGGCACTTGCTCGGGCCAGTGCCCAGCTTGATATGAATTCCAACCTTTGTGTCAGCTCAGGCACTTAAAAAAACTCCTGACACTTCTACTGGAAAAGTGCCCTCTGCTTCAGAACAAACTGAGAGGGAACAGTTCTTCCCTTTGTGCCTGTTGGCCGGCACACTCTTTGGCCTGAGGTAGGAACCAGGAGCATCTCTCAGATCAGATCCATGTGATGGGGCCCATCATGCACCTGAAGCCTCAGCAGACGCCACAGGATAGGGAGACATGACTCTTTTAGAGCTTAAAGACCAAAGCACCAAAGCCACCTCAGAGCCTGGCAGAGATGGAGAATACCATCCAAATTTCCCATCCTCTATCCAGCCCAGGGATTAGCAGGCAATGCAATCTCTGCAAATCAGCAGGCAAAGTGATGGTGGCCACTGCCCCAGAGATCACGCGAGCCCCTGCTGTGGCCAGGGTGGCTCTTTTGCTCCTGGCTGGCTAGGGCAGCCAGTTGGGCTCCCTGCCCCTTGCATCCTCCAAACCACTGTCCTCCAAGCCTCCAAACCTCCAGGACTCATCCAGATCAGCCCTGGCATGATGGGTTTGCTCTGCCTGCACCCATGGCTAGTGCTGCAAGGGCCGTTCATACCCCACACTCTCTGTGCTTGCCGGGGACCCCACTAGGGCACTGGACCAGCATGCGAGAGATTGTGTCCACTTGGCAACCAATTTTTTCAAAATCAACACTCTGCTCTGAGGAATTCATACAACAGCTCAAACAGTTTGAAATATTCAAAACAGCTTTTAATTTTAGAATTCTATACAAACTTTGATAGATACAGAAGGGGGCCACGACAAAATGTGTTCTTATTGCCTGAAATCTTTCACAGAAATAGGAACATCGACGGCAAGCTTACTGACATCCAAAGTGATGAGATATCTTTAAACTTGCAAAAATGAACGCTGGCAAACAGAAGACACAACAACACTCCTAAGTAGTCTGTATGTGTTTGACTGTCCTTGAAGCCCTACTACTTATATACTGACCTCAAAATACAAAGAATCAAGATTAAAGATTTTAATGTACATCACATAATAATGAAAAAAAAGCACATAAAAAAGCATACATAGTGTAATCCTTAAAATACACTATTTTTTTTTTACCTAGGGCGCTGACTTATTCCAAGAATGATTTCCTGTATAGGCGTGTTTGAAGGGAGGCACACATTTTCTCTTATGCACAGGACACCAATATTTGATGGAGCTACAAGAACAAATGACAGCAAACAAAAAGGGAAGAAACTTAACCACAACTGGAACGCAAACTCCATGCCAGTGTTCTCACAGCCCTAAGCAAAGCTATACATTAAAATATTCTACAACCAAAAAGTCCTTGGCACTTTTCCTTGGATAACCTTCCTCTTTCTTTCTGTCTGTCTGTCTGTCTGTCTAGCAAATTACATTTCTGCACCTATATCATAAGGCAAAACTATAAATGAGACAACAAGGACAAAAAGTTACCAACCTCTCTCCCCACAAAAGCAAAATCCCCCCCCACTCTCCAACCATTGCTCCAGAACTCCCAACATCCAGTGAAGTAACATCATCCTTCTTCTTCATCACTGTCTTTCATGGAAATGCCCTGCAGTCCACCTGCGGCTGTGACTGAGACCGTAGCTTCCTCTACTGTCAGCCGGCTGTGAACAGTGTCATAGGTTTTGCTGTTCAGGGTTCCCTCCAGCACACCTTGCAGCCTGAAGTCTCGGTAGGTTTTCTGTGACAAAATCACAATATTTGGAATTAGAGTCAAGAAAGTCAGAGGAGTTTTCCACTAGATAGTAGCCAGTATTTTACTCCTATTGACTAATTACTATGTCTCATATTTCAAGTGAAACTAGATCCTAATACCACTCTGGTTATTTTAAGGTCACAGTCTTATATCCAGTTGTTTCTCACCTGGGCAAAACCCACTTTTTTATTGAATGATCTTGAAATTAGACTTGCAGCCAAATATGTTCTTAAGTCAAAAAAAAATAACATCTTGCATTTAGCCTTATCATTATCTTATCTGGAATTTGCCACATATTTGGGAATCTTAGCTATTATTCCAGGGGCACAGGTCTTAACACTTTTCAAGCAGAATTTTAGAAAAAAAACCTTCTCAATGTAAGTAGAGCCACCTACTTTCACCCTGAGAAATACAATGAGACTACAACAAGCCATGGACATCTCTGTAACTAGTTGCATTTTGTACATTTTGTACTATTTTCTATAACTGCACGCACATTTTGGAATTACTTTATCTAACTTAGTAAGAAACTAAGAAAGATTTTTGTTTAACTGTATATTGAAATGTGATTTTGATGGAGTACTTCACAGAAAATGCTCTTTGCTCAACACCTTTTTTTTTTGCTTTTATCTTTATATATGTAAATGAAATGTTAAAAATTAAACTTTAGATTGTGATCTATATTCTATAACAGCTGCTCTTGTGACTACTTCAGGTCTGTGTAAATATCAATTTACATTCTAAGGTAAATTTCCTTATTTTTCAAGTTATGAGTTTCAAGTTTTCTATGCTTATGGAAGAGATTATAGGAAAAAGGAAATGGAAAATAATTAAGGGCTATTGGACTCATTCACCTAAAGGAGAACACTGTGCACCTCTCTTAGAAAAGGAAAAGAAAAAGAAGAGCTAAACATATTTTACTTAAATCTTCAGAGAACTGCAAGACATCTCTCAAAAATGGGTAATATTCCACTGGGAGATTTCTTTTTTCTTGCCACTATCTATGGTGGTTATTTAAAACCTATCTGAATCATTGCAATGGAGATTTATTGACTTTTATAGGTCAGCTTCAGAGTCAATGGATGTGACATGTTTTGTTCATACATTTTTGTGAGTATCCTACGTGGTCTTGTTCAAGTGTCACCATTGCATTCTTTTTATTTATTTTTTTTTTATAATATACATAACACTGTGCATTCAATTTCCTTTTATGCTGTTAACAGGTCCTACAGCAATGTCTCTTTAGATTTACATCGTATTTCTCCCATTCTCAGTCCAGCACTCTTGGGTTCAGCCACTGCTCTTCTCCTGAAACACTTTTGCAGGATAATAATTTTCACTTCCAAGCTAAATTTGTCAATTCTCCCTAATTTTGTTTTTTGCCCTTGATCTTTCTTTAGTCATGTCTCTCCGACTACCTCTGCATACCTAACCATATGCCACCATCCCCAAATCTCAAATTCAAACGGGAAAGACAATGTTTCCTTCTTCTAGTCTTTCTTAAAAATGCCTTTGTTATGTCCATACATGAAAGAATTACCTCTTCCTTATTCTTAGCCATTAAAAATGCCTCCTACACTTTTTTTTTTTCAGAATATTTTCAAAATTCTTCATACATTCTTCTCAAATAGTTTAATTCACAGAATATGAAAAAGAAATGATGGGAACATAGCCTCCCATATTTCTCAAAGACAAGCAGATAAAAAGCTCTTTTTTTCCTCTGTAGTTTGCAGGAATGGTGTCTCTTCAGGAACCTTTCTCCAGTTTGACTGCCAGTGAAAGCTTCCTATCGTATTCCTCTTTAACCATTAACTCTTAATTTTCCATATGCCTCATTTTCCCTGAATTATTATTTTACTGGTTCTGTCTTCTGCACCAGCAAAAACAAAGGTATTCAAGGTTTTCTGTTTTCCAGTACTTGACTAGAGGCTCTGTGACTGACACCGTCATCTTCAATTTTCCATATTCATAAAAGGTGCTACGGAATAATTTGTAAATACCTTTAGAATTTATGTGCAAAGCAAACCATGTGTATAAGCACAAAAAAAGCTGCCAAGATAGCTGGTGCATTCACATCATCACTGAGAGCATGTTCCTTGTAGAAAAAGCTAATTGTTGCACCAAGTTGCAGATTTAAGTTTGATAGTGTGACTGATTCATTGGACTTTGTATTTATAATCCCTTTGAAAAAAAAATTTTCTTTAATCTTCAGAGTGATATTTAACTGGCGTAAGTTAGTGTGGGCACCCTGGGCACACATTTGGGGACCTATATCATCTTTTTCTCCAGAGGAAGACAACTACCTTCACCTGAGAAGAGCTTTAAATCTTGCACAAGAGCCATTAATTTTGACCACAGAAAGCAAACTGCTTTTGACACAAAATAAAATGAGGAACTCAGCCTGTTCACTGAGAAATAAGTTGTTAAGGTTGAAAATAGCAAAGCTGAACTTGGAGAGCTCACAAAGCCTCATAACATGATTATTATGGTGGTTCTTACATTTCTCTCTAACATCCCCCCCTCTCTCTTTTTTTTTNGTGGTTCTTACATTTCTCTCTAACATCCCCCCCTCTCTCTTTTTTTTTCTTTTTTTTTTTTTTTTTTTTTGGCAGTGAACACTGAATATCCCAGTGTCCCAGTTGTAATTCTAGTGCCCTCAAGTGAAAATGCCTCTCATTTTGCAATCTCACCTGAAATTCATGGAAAAGGTACTTTGGAGACAAATAGCATTATCATTGACATCAGGTCCTTATCACACTCTTACACATTCAACAAGAATGTTCAGAGCTAATCAGGAAAGAATTAAAAGGAAAAATTCTGAAATGGCTCCCAGTCTCTTGCATAAGGGTATTAACTAACCTCTAAAGCAGAGCAGGGAAAAAATTTTTTTTTTTTTGTGGTAGGTTAACTCATAAACGCCTATTGCAAGGTGTTTTGAACTTTCCTTAGAAATATTTGACAGAACCAAAGACCAGACTAGAGACACTGATACACTTTTTCATGTTGACATTGATCTTAGAGTATGTTAAGACTTTATACAATATGTTGCATGTTATTTTCCAACTGAACCTAGTAATCCTATGAACATAGAGAAGAGAAAAATACCTTCTACTTTTGCAAAAGTGCAGAAAAATAAGCAGGAAGAATACTATTGTGAATATTAAGCCAAAAAATATTCAAGAATATGACAAGGTAATTTCTAGAAATAATGTATAGCATTGCTGTACATATAGCAGTAATCTATTTAAATCCTTTGGAACCATTTGAGTTTCAAGCTTTTTGCTCATGCAACTTGTCACTTGAGGCCAAGGATGAACAATCTACAAGTGCAGAAAAAAAACTAGTGTTTTTCTTTTTATTTCTCCCTTCAGAGGGCGGCAAGCTTATATATTTATTACAAAAAAAAGACCTAAACAAGCCAGTAATTTTATTTAACTTTATTTTTTATTTTTTTTTTTAGCTTTTATGGTAATCTACATTTATCTCTACTTAATACTTCACTACTTTTCTAGCTTTGCTATGCAATTAAATTCAGATATGCTGTTTACCTTCACTATCTTGATCAGGGTCTTCAGCTGGTAGATGTGAAGCTGCACGTCTAATCTATCAGCCAGCCACACACAGATGACTTTCATGGAGCTGCTATACCATTGCTGAAAAGAAGGATAAAAAAAATCACAAACAACCACCCTGCAGTATTCATTTAACAGATTTGGTAATGAGAGGTAATGAAACACTTTGAAATGATCACAGATCAGCACTTGAAGTCAACAATGATATAATTTCCTGTTAAGAGAATTGCATGGGTCAGTAGGAAATCAAATAACTTGACCTAGACTGTTCTTTATGCGAATTAGCAACTGCTATTTTTTTTCTTTCGGGTTATAACATTTTCATGCAAAATAGTGCTATGAACTTTGCTATCTGTCAGTAAGAGTGGTTATTAAATACACTTACATGAATGAATTGTCTGCCAAAACAGCAGGGGGAAAATCAGATTGGTAATCTTTAGAGAAATTTTGCAATTCCCAGTTTTTTCAAATCAAACAGAAAAACAACATCAAACAAAATAAGGAATTTATCATACTTCTTTTTTTTTTTCTAGATCCCTTTGATATTATGACTATGGTGAAATGGTGAAACATCAAGAATCTGTCCAAACTGTATTTAAGTATGACTAAAACTCTAAGCTACTTCTCCCCAAAGAGAAATTTTAAGGCTTTGCTTTCCATTAGTTGCTAATTATAATTATACCCTATCTTATTTTATGTTTTAGGCATGAGTATGCTTTCACAAAAAGCTTTACAAATGTATCTGGTAAGAATAAGTCTCTGCTATTGGTGTTCACATTACCATAAAAAAAAAAAAATCCTGGATGCAAATAGCTGCTATAATAGTTCTTTCACATTAACTGGATTAAAAGAGATTTTGCTAAAAATAGTTGTAGCATTTCCCCTGCCCTCCTCCCCCTGTAAAACACTAACCAGATGCCATTTAGTCAAACTATAAAAACGAAAAAGGAAGGGTTTTTTTTTTTCATTTTAGCAATAAAAGATTAAGAGAGTTTGTGTGTTAGTTCTTTTTCTAGTCTCTTCCCCCACAGGGATGAGGCTTAAATTGTTTTCTAATGTAATTTCCTGTCTCTTTACAAAGTACACTGACATGCAAAGAGAAGAAACACTGTGCATATTTTAAAATGCAGCATGTTATTTAATGTATACATGACAAAGTAATTCAAGGAAAGGCTATTGCATGCTTCATTAACAACCTCTCTATTAATGAATTAAATAAAATAAAATATATAAGAATTGAAGACAAATTACTGGTCACTGGATGTAACCAAAGATAAAATCAGAATTTGTTCATCAAAATGTAAGCTTTCCTGAATGAGCTTTGTATACACAGACAAAATATATTTAAATACTTCTTTGTTATAGCAAACTAAGTCTTATCTTATTGTACCTCTCATTTGGAAGAGATATTTGAAATAAGAAAAAGATTTTCATATATATTGACTTTATTGAGTTTCTTTACCATTTTTTTTAACATGTTTAAAATATTGATTTATAGATGATTTATAAATCACTGGAAATAAGTTAGTCTCACATTTTATTAAAGTTTCTTCTATTAACTTATTATTTTACAGAAGTGAGCTCCACAGAAATATAGATGGCTACCTTTTTCATAAAATAACTTGACTTGTTCAATAAAATGCATAACTTATTTTGTATCCATAAATAGTTTTATATCACTGAATCACATTTTTTACAGGATTTACTATCACACCCATTACATGCATTTTACTTTTAAATAAATTACAAGCACATAAAAGGTAATGTACCTTTAATTTATTACCTTTAATAATAGCCTTTATGTGAAAGAGTTGTTAGTAAATTGTAATTGTGAACTCTGTATTAAAGCTGTTGTTTATATACAAATGTATACAAAATAAAAATACATAAGGTTATTTCCTTGGTGAATATCATTAATCTAACAATTACCAAAAATTCATACAGAAAGTATTATGCCCAAATCATGTTTTTGCTGTTTACAATAAGATGAGATAAATGACCATGTTATCACTCAGATTCTCAAATCTCATAATTTTTCATAAAAATAATACATCTACAGTGCATTTCTTATACACCAAACAACTGATAGAAATCAGAAGGGGCTCAAACTTGCTCACATGAGCAAACTACAAATATGATTGAAAATTCTGTGAGTGAATACCCCATGTAAAACCACTGAATGGTGCAGGATTACTAAGAATAGACTTAGCCTTATTTTTCTGGCAAAGCATGCCTTAAAGAAGAACTAAAAAAAGAGAAAATGTCTGCAGTTCACAGTATATCTGCAGAATACTTAAATGAACTCTGAGAGCAATGCTAAGACACTGAAGAGAATTATTTTTGTGCCTCAAATTTGTGAATGAAAACAACATACCTATTTTCTGACTTAATTCTAATATGCTAACCCTTTGATAAATATATATAATTCAGTGGTCTCAAAATGCATTAAAACACTTTTCTCAGAAAAATATAACTGCTGTTACATTAAAAAAAAACTCCTTATTTTTAGGAATTACCGTATTATACCATATTATAATACATATTATATTTAATAAAAAAAGTAGCAAGTATATTTTCAGGGTCCTCCCTGAAGGGCACCTGTGGATAGCATTGCTGTTTACACTACCATCTCTGAGCATTTACTAAGGCCTGATTCTGCATAAACAAAAATACATAAATCTTCTGGACTAATTAAGTTACAATGTAGATATATCCCTGATATCTTTTTCTTTTTTTCTTTTCCCTGATAAAATGCACAATGCTGTAAATGCCTCTTAGAGGTGGAATCCAAGGCCAAACATTTCGACCATCAAGGGCCTGTTATAGGGGGAAAACTGTTTCTACTGTGACATATGGAAATCTATTGCAAATTCACCAGCTTCAGAAATTAGATATGGGCTTTTAGATTCTGATGTTTTAAATTGATTAAAAAATCCTTATAGCTATTTTATATACACATATATAAAACATTATACATATATACGTGGATAGATAGATAGATAGAGAGAGAGAGATAAATCATTTTCCTCTTCTATCAATAGCAGTGGAAGGCCAATGCAACTCTGGCAGATGTCAATGATAAGGCATTAGTGGCTTATTCTTTGTTGTTCTCTATGCCAGAATAAAGCAATGAGTGTATATTATATATTTTTCCACATCGGCACATAGTAGCAGCCAACCACTTTAGCAAAAATACGTTTGCCTCCCTTTCCTCCCTTCTCTTATTCATAGCTCATCCAGCTCCTGTAAGGGCATGCATTACTCACTTCATTTTCCTGAGCTACCTCTTTTAAAGTAAAAAATAAGAGAAAAGGAAAGGCCAGGGTTGACTCTGTGAGACCCCTGTATTTATTCACACTTATTGTGCATGACTGTAGACTGGTAAATCATATTAGCAGCCCGTCTCCCCATCAAGCTGCTACTTGATTTCCAGCCCTGGGAAGGTTCAACAAATCAACAGGAGCACGGAAAACAGAACATCAGTCTAATCTAGTGTTTAAGGTGAAGTTTTCAAACCCAATCTAAGAAGATCTTTAGAGCAAGCAACAAGCTGAAGGGCTCAGAAGGTGGTATTGACAATGAAAGACTGCTGAAATATTGAGAAGCGCAGCACTTCTGCATTTTTAATAACAAGAGGGTCAACAAGGACACAGCTCCCTCGGTGCCAATAGTTGCCACACCAGGGCTATAAACGCTCGCAGTTCATCAGATTTCTTAAACAGTTCATCAGCTTTCTTAAACACCCTAAACCCCCTCCGCGGACCTTTAGTCTTAAATTAACCAAGCAAAGCGCTGAGAGAGGGGGCAGTCTGAATGGCCACCATTGATCCCCACGGGGCTCGGCGGCTCAGGGCGCCCAAACCGCGCTCCTTTGTGCGCGGGATGGATGAAGGCGCTCGCCGAGGAGCCCGCGAGCGGCGGCGGGCGGGCGGCCCAGCTGCACAGGCCTCCCCGCGCTCACAAAGCGCCGCGCGCGGCCTCTTTGTCCGACCCAGGCCCGCAATCCCCTAACAAGGATTAAAGTTGTTTCTCCGCGGGGCCGGTGAAAAGCGATTTAGCGACATGCCGGCCTTTCTTTCGTGCCAGCTAAAGAGAAGCAGTTAAGGAATTTCATTATTCTGGTGGCTGGTGGAGATGCAAAACAAATATATTAAATATTCGCCATCCTTTTTCTGCGGGGAGGGCTGGAGGCTAATCTATAATGTTTGGAGGGTGAGTCAATTCAATATAACACTTCTCGCCTGAAAGCAAGTCCTTCAGATTTATTTTTGAAGTTTTATAAATAGGTGCAGCTGTTTGCCACCTGGAAGGGGGACTCAGCACACACTAATACAAAAAGCTTTAGCCCTCCAAGGTCTGATATTCCTAACATCTGATTCACAAGAACCCACAGAGTTCCTATATCTTCACTGCTCTGGATGAATGGGCAGTGTCAAAATGCCTTTTTTTTTTTTTTTTTTTTTTTTTCTGCTGAATATGGCAGGGGAACAGCTTTTCTAGAAAACACATTTTTATCCTCCCACTGAAGTCTGCTGCTTAGGAATTGAGTCGCTCAGTCAACATAGGATATTTTACTTGCCGAACTTTGCTTTTCCTACAAGGAACAATACCCAGAAAGGATTCCTTTCATTGGAAAGATTATACGTGAAAGGCAGTAAAAGCTACAATGCTAAATGTCTGCAGCAGGTTTTAGGATTAAGTAGCACAATGTCCTATATGCATTAAAAGACATTAGGAGACAATGCTGTAACATTGTTGCAAAATTCAGACAGCAATCATTAGCAAGGAACATTTAAACATTTCAAAAATAAACTTAAATAATGAAAGAGTAAAGAAAATTATTCCTTACAAATGCAAATAGCACAGGATAGAATGAAATTTTCATAACTTATTTCCCTCTTTGCAAAATAGGCACAATCATACTGGTGTCCTTTATTGATCATTAATGATAACTAGGGAACAACATGTTTGTTTCCATAGTGCCTTTAAAAACACTCGGAGGTTTAGGTGTTACAGCTATATTTTCATGTTTAGGCATAGCTGAGAATTTCGGCAGGTCCACAGCATGCGGATATCACAAA